GTTGGGGGCAATATGCTGACTCTGTAAACCGCTTAGAGAGGGCTGAAAGCCCTATGAAGCGGTATATAAGTCTAAGTGCTATTGCTATTGCTATTGCCCCAATGATTTCGCTTGTCAGAAGATCACAAAAGAGGATAGCGTGACCCCGGGACACAGCAAAGGTCATAAGTATGAACCAGGTGCCGAGCATCGGAATTTTGACCATATGATCATGGGGATAGTACAAAGGTTGTAAACTGTGAAAAATGGTCATAAGTCACTTTTTTCACTGCTGTTGTAACTTTGAACAGTCACTAAACGAACTGTTGTAAGTCAGGGACTACCTGCACAGGGAGAAAACAAAGGTTTATATTTCTGGGATGGGGAACTGAATGATAGAATCCAGATGGATCCAGAGGAGAGATCAGGGCACCTTAACAAAGAACAGCCTGCAGTAAAAGTGATACCTGTGGGCAACTTCGAGGGCCAAGGAAAGAATTTCTGTCCACACACTAGCAGCCAGTCCGTGAGGTGTGCTGTTCCCCAAAGTCACCGCCTCCTTGGTCGTCCGGAAAGTCAGGGATACCAGAACAGGTCCAAAGATCTGCAGAAGAAAATGCTTTAGATCATTTTTAAACAATGAGAATCCATTGCCCCATCAATTTCCTACCAAAGCAAATTCTGCCAAGGAGAGGGAGCCTGGCTGAGAAGAAGCAGAAGCTGCTACATGATAGACACAGCAGATTAGTAGGAACGGTTTAATTTAAACCTTTTGCGTAGGATGAAAAGCAAACTTTCCTCCAAATCTTTAGGCTGAGAATCAGTAACCTGGAGCCCCAGGGCCATAAAACTAGGCAAGAAGCCTACAGCGTCCCTTGGCCACAATAACCATAACCTGATGGAATGGAAAATACAGGAAAGGCAGAAAAAGATGCAGTATATCAGTAATCTCGACTTACAGCATTTTGTTTAGTGATCTTTTGAAGTTACAATAACAGTGAAAAAAGTGACTTATGACTGTTTTTTCACACTTACAACTGTTGCAGCATCCTCATGGTCCTGTGATCAAAATTCAGACCTTGGGCAAGTGGTTCATATTTATGACGGTTGCATTGTCCCAGGATAATCATGTGATCTCCTTTTGCAACCGTCTGCCAAGCAAAGTCACTGGGGAAGCCAGATTCACTTAACAACCAGGTTACTAACATAACAACTGCGGTGATTCACTTAACAATGGTGGCAAGAAAGGTTATAAAATGGGCAAAACTCATTTAACAACTGTCTTGCTTAGCAACAGAAATTTGGGGTTCAATTGTGGTCGGGGACTATTCGTACATTTGAAGCAAATTTATTAATAAAGGTAATCCTCGACTTACAACTGTAATGGAGCTGCCATGATAGTCATAAATTTCGCGACTGCTTCAGTCGTAAAAACAAATGCTGCCGTCATTCAACGAACGAATGTTTTGTTATGGGTATGGTTTTGCTGAAAACTTAAAAGCAGGGGTGTCAAACTCAAGGCGTGGAGGCCAGATCTGGCCTGCAGGGTGCTTGGATCTGGCCTGCAGAGCCGCCCTGGAAGCAGCAAAGGACCGAGCGCTGCCAGCAAAAACTGACCTCGGGAGGACGGTGCGCGACTCTCGCAAGCTCCGTTTTCACTGGGAGAAGGTTGCAGGAGGCCATTGCAGCCAAAAACGGAGCTAGAGAGCCTGTTTTCACTGGCAGAGAGCTCAGGCCCCCCTGACACAAGTGATGTTGAGCTGGCCCTGGCCACCCCCACCCCAGTCCCCCAAAGTCAAACACAACCCTGATGCAGTTCTCAATGAAAATCGAGTTTGACATCCCTGACTTAAAAGTACTTTCTGGTTTTCGGCAAAAGATCCATAAAACATGGTGACATGATCCTGGGATGCTATAAATATCAACAAGCTTTCCGTTTGTGTTTAACCATCGAGAAAAAGCACTTGGATAAGTGACTTAATTTATATAATCCTGTTTTGTATTAGTTTATGAGTGAGGACTTTTGCCAGAGCAATTATCTGGCGGGCTCGCAGCCAGCAAAGCCGGGACTGATAAAAGGATTCCTTGGAAGTTCTGTTTGACTTTAGTTTTTGAACGGGCAAGGTGGGGGGTCAGAACAGATCCAAACTTTGTCTTATTTCCACCTGGACAAATATGAACAAATATATGTCATTTCCATGCCATCAAAACGCACTTACTGTTATATTTTATTAAGGTTCAAATGAATAAACAGACAAAATTCATTGTAGCTGGACAGATCTTTTGGGTAGAATGGGGTTTGTCATCATCTGCTTCAACTGAATTTAATAGAATAATGGAATAACAGAATTGGAAAGGACCTTGGAGGTTTTCTAGTCCAACCCTCTGCAGCATGATTGCTCTGCCCCTGACGTTTGGTCACATGACTGTGGAGGGGGCAACCGTTAGCATTTCAAATCCAGATCGCAAATAGCCCCCCATGCTGGTCCGTGTAACATCAAACAGTTCAGTCATAAGTCAAGAACTACCCGCAGCTACAAAATGAAGAAACAAAGCTAAATGCCCATCTCTTATCCACAAAACGTTGTGTGGGGACGATACACCAGGACACACAAGGACCTTCTCCATGTATGCGGTAAGGTTATATCTACTTGATGTCACCACTCACTGCACTTTTATTACATAAAGCTACTTTCCCCTTTAGGTAGTGCACCCAAGTACAGGTAGTCCTTGATTTACAACAGTTCCTTCAGTGACCATTCAAAGTTACAACAGCACTGAAGGAAGTGAATTCTGGCCATTTTTTAGTTGCGGACATTGCAACATCCCGTTGGGCACAAGATTAAAACTCAGATGCTTTGCAATTGGTTGATATCTATGACCTTTGCTGTCTCCCAAGGTTCAGTGATCACCTTTTATGACCTGATAAGCAAACCCAAGCTCTCTCTTTTCATCTCAATTCGGTGGCCCTTATATCTGTCGCGAGCGCCCCGTTAGTTCACCAAGGCATAGCAACCTTTGATAGATGCCATGGATAGAAGACATCAACTGTTATGAACCCTACGACTGGGGGAGAGTGTTCAGGACGGAAGGATCCTCTCTTAAGGCTTCAAAGGAGCCACATCCACTGAAAGGTGAGGAGTGGCTGCAGGTAGGCCTTAACCTATGACCACAACTGACCCCCCAAATTTCTGTTGCTAAGCAAAACAAATGTTAAATGAATCCTGTCACATTTTGCAGCCTTTCTTGCCACAGTGGTTAACTGAATCACGGCAGTTGTTAAATAAGTAACGTGGTTGTTAAGCGAATCTGGATTTCCCAGTGATTTTGCTTGTCAGAATTCGCAAAAGCTGATCACATCACCCTGGGAAACTGCAAAATATGAATAGGAACAAATTGCCTTGCATCAATTTTGAAAAACAGTCATAAGTTAGTTTTTTCAGTGCTGCTGTAACTTTGAACGGCCGCTAAATGAACTGATGTAAGTTGAGGACTACCTGCATTTCAGAGCTTTTCCCCAATCTGTGATGCAGAGATCAGTTATCAGCAAAGCAAAAATGCTGTGCCTATACATGTATGCGGGAAAGTTTAGGAACAAACACATGGAATCTTTTGGAGGCTGGGGCTGCTTTAAAATTTTGAGGAAAGGTACTTATTGGCATTCCTTCCTAATGCTTTATACAGCCGTAATAATCAGCAAGCTTCAAACCTAGCATAGCACTGAACTTCTTTTTTAGCCTTCAACCTGCAAACCTAAACATTGCCACTTTAAGACACCTATTTATTACGCTTAATATGACCCTTAAAACAGCCATAGCATTTCTCAGGCAAGTCCATAAACCTGACAGAAAAGGGAAAGGCTTAATGAAAAGAAGGTCTTGCATGAGGTCTGAAGCAGTGATGAAATTCAGCCGGTTCTATTCAGCCAGCGCATCGGTTGCGGAGGCAGTGGGAGGCTCCGCCCACCCGCCCGGATGTCATCACATCCCGTTTTTGAAGTTCTGCACATGTGTGAAGGTAGCACGTGCAAGTGAAGTGAGCGCGCGCACTCACATTTGCGAACTGGTAGCGAAGGTAAGTTGATTTCACCCTGGTCTGAAGCATTTTCAAAGCCCCACTTTTGACCCCCACCATTTACTACAGCTTTCTTCAACCTGTCAGCCTTCGGAAATTGTGGTCCAAAACTTCAAACAGACAGAAGAGAGGAGACGACAGAGGCAGAAAAACAAGAGGGAAGGCAGGAGAATGTGAATGTTGACCATGTTTAATGGGCACAGGCTACGTTCAGAATGGAGGCTCATCTACTAAAGTGCCTTCCACTAAATGCCTCAGAATTTCCAATTTAACATGGTCAATAGGAATTAAAACAATTTAGTCTAACATGTCTGAAAATATTAGGTGAGGGAAGAAAGATGGATTAAAGCTAGTTTAAAAGAGGTCTAGTATATGGCCAAACATGTGTACCTGAAGATAGAACATCATAAACTCAGTGTAGTTTTTCTTTCTTTCTTTCTTTCTTTCTTTCTTTCTTTCTTTCTTTCTTTCTTTCTTTCTTTCTTTCTTTCTTTCTTTCTTCTTTCTTTCTTCCTTCCTTCTTTCCTCCTTCCTTCCTTCCTTCCTTCCTTCCTTCCTTCCTTCTTTCTTTCTTTCTCACTCTCTGTTTTTTATTTATATCCCACATGGACAACTCTGTGAGATGGGCTGGGCTAAGCACATGTGACTGGCCCAAAGTCAACCAGCTGGCTTTTATGTCCAAGGCAGGACTAGAACTCCTGGTCTCCCGGTTTCTAGCCTAGAGCCTTAACTACCCAACTGGCTTTCTTATTCCATTTATTAATAACATTAATCTCTACTGATTGTTTTAGCAATATCAGAATGCTAATGCATTCATTATGAGAAATGCTTTCTCATCTCTTCCTACCTCTTCCTGGACGCAACGGGAGGTATGATACACGCCAGTGATTAAGGTTGGAGGGTAAAACAATTTATTTGATGGGAGGGATGCCCAAGCTTGGAAGACCTAAAAAAAAACAAAAAACTTTTGAATTAGGTTGTCAGTCACAGAAACTCTAATCTGGATTCCTATCCAGAGCAGGGGGTTGGATTCTATACCTAAATACTTTTCCTGATAGGCCTCTAGCTCAGGGTTGAACTGTGGGATCCTTGATGCTTTCTGAGCTTGGTTATTTTCTTGCAGATGTTTCATTATCCAATTAGTGCACTGATTATGTTATCTACCGTATTTTTCAGAGTATAAGATGCACCTTTTCCCCTCAAAAAAGAGGCTGAAAATCTGGGTGCATCTTATACATTGAATACAGCATTTGTTGCTTCCTGAAACCCCACCAAAATGGCCGTGCAGAACCTGTAGGAGGCTTTCAAAGAGCTCCTGGGGGCTGGAGAGGACAGAAATGAGTGAAAAATGGGACATTTTTGCTCAATTTTGTCCCCCTCAGCCCCCAGGATTACCCTATAAGCCTCCTAAAGGCTATGCATGCAATTTTTTAAACAAAAAATGGGCCCATTTTTGCGAATAACAGGCCATTTTTTGCTTGTTTTGGGGGGGGGCACCCCCCAGGAGCATTCTGCAAGCCCACTAAAGGCTATTCATGCCTTTTTTTTTGGAAAAAAACAGGTCTGTTTTTGCGAAAAACAGGCTGTTTTTGGGAGGTTTGCAAAACTTTTTTAAAAATTTGCCTCTTCAAAACTTTGATGCGTCTTATACTCAGGTACATCTTATACTCTGTAAAATACGGTAGTTGAGTAATAAAACATCTGCAAGAAAACAACCAAGGTTAAAAAGCACTAAGGACACCTCAAAAAAATTAAAACACTTTAAAAGCTGGGGGTGTTATAAAAAGGAGACAAACTAAGTTACTAATAGAAAGAACATTGAAAATAGACCCCATTAAACATTGCATTCAAATTGTGGAGTACAAGAACTAGCTGGATCTAAATAACATCAAGGTTTTTTTTTAACCAGGACTCTCCAGATACAGTGGTCTTCCATATCCTTTCTTGGCAAGCAGTGAAAGAGAAACATCCTCCAACAATCTTGTTTGAAGGATACCAAGATGGAAAAGATGGTCCTTATTGAAATCATTATTCTTGATCAACTCCTGAATCAAACAAATAAAGAATAACTGAAATATTTCCTCCCTGGTACAAATATTTTTAAGCTGAAATCTTCAGTCTTACATTTTTCTTCCCTATTAGTTAACAACTAGCAAAGAAATCCAAGGCCATAATTTTAACAAATAGCACAGATGTTCCACAGACATGTTTTATAATGTGTTTACTTCATAGTAGGGTTATTTACATCTCTACAAGCAACTTAGCTTGGCTCTGGAGCTTAAATGGACCCCAGGGGATGGTAGAGGAAGGCCTGGAGGAACGTCGTCCGTGGGGTCGCGATGGGTCAAACATGACTTTGCAACTAACAACAACTATTGTTAAATTTTACTATTGTTAGGATGACTTTGGTCTAACATGATTCCTTCCCATTTACCTCAGCCCCTTCAGCCCGAGCTTCTTCCACCAGGCTGTCAATGACATTTCGCTGCTTCTCGCTGGTCAATGGTCCCACATCTGTGATTTTGTCCAGAGAGTCTCCTAAGTGGAGCTGCCCCATTCGGTGTTTCAGGCGTTGAATAAAGTCTTTGGCAATGGATTCCTGAAGGAACAGTTGAGCCCCAGCACTGTGGACCTGAGAAGGGGAAGGAAAAGTCACCCATGGGGTTCATTAATTCAATCCTTGGCTGCAATATTTTGCAGCCAAGACTCTGCCAGAGTAAAAATAAAATTCACTGTCTGGTTCTTTAAAAAATGTTTAAACGTAGAATATGTGCATAAACAATTAAAAAAATAATATGATTCCCAGATTGATTCATTGGCCATTTTGAAAATATTTGGAACTTGTTTAGTTCTGGTGTGCACTACTGGGTAACACTGTAGTTTATTCCATAAATTATAGCTAAGCAAATCTTGGCTAAGCAAAGCTTGGTCAATGTAGAATCCTTGTATAATTGCCTATTTTTGATCCTATTCAAAAGGTTAGGTGTGACGTACAAAATACCATATGTCTGGAAGCAGGCTGTTTCAACAACTATTTTCATCTATTTGAGGTTGGACAAACATTAATGTCTTGTTATCTCTGGAGACAAACTTAGAGATAATGCCAGAAAGATCCTTTTGAAATATTTCTACCCTTACTTTGTTCTCTTTCTGTTAACTGGAAAAATGCTACAGCTGGGTTTAACAGTAGAAGCAATTAGTTTATTTTAAAACGATTGTGTTCCTGCTTGAACTTTTAATTATATGCTGGTCCCTAACTATTTTTAGGGAGTAATTGATGTAACATCCTGCTTGGGCGGGGCGGGTTGGACTAGATGACCTACAAGGTCCCTTCCAATTCTGTTAATTTAATCTTAAAAAGTGCAAATGCAAAAAAATAAACACAACTGCTAAATAGTTGCAACTGAAGTGGGCAGCTGACATACACATCCAAAGTTTTATTATACAAGTGCCAAATTTTTCAGATAATTCTGGACAAAGGTTTACTATATCATAGAGTTAAAATCTAACAGGCTGTCAAAAAAGAAATATGAAGAATTGAATTTTTTTTAGTATTTCTCTCTTTTGCAGTGGTTGGGTGAGCCAGCAGCCGACTGAAAAAGGGGGAAATGTTAAGAAACAGCTTTTTCCCTGGGTCTCTTCTTCCTTTGATATTACCTTTGGTTAAAAGCATACCTGTCCTCGATTCAGCCAGATGGCGTCCACCACTGCGTCAGCAGCACTATCCAAGTCAGCTGAGTCAAAGACAATGAAGGGCAACTTCTCCCCAAGTTGGAGACAAAGCTTCTTGCCACTGCCAGCTGTGGCTTGACGCAGACAACGGCCCACCTGTACCAGCAACACATTTCCCATCACATCATATTTAAAATGGCCATTGACCATCCCTCCCACGCCAGCCCAAAGTCCCATTCCTCAAGAATTTCCTCAAATTCTTGCTCTAGTTGGAACAAGGGAGGATGGAAGTGTCACTGATTTTGGAATAAGTAGGAGATCGAAGGTCCTGTGCTACACTATCAAGACGACACTACATTATCAAAAGAAGAGTGAAACGCAGTGGGTGATGGGAAAACAGAAGAAACCTGGAGTGAGGTAGATACAGGTAGTCCTTGATTTATGACCACAATTGAAGCCAATTTTTTTTTGTTAAGTAAGACATTTGTTAAGTGAGTTTTATCCATTTAACATCCTTAACAAATGCCACATTTGTTAAGTGAATCACTGTAGTTGTTGAGTCAGTAACTCGGTTATGAGTTTTATCCCATTTAACATCCTTTCTTGCCAAAATGGTCATAACTCACTTTTTTTTAATGCCGTTGTAACTTCGAAGTCATTAAATGAATTATTGTAAGTTGAGGACTACGTGTTATTTGTTGAGGGATGAAGTAAATACGTTAGAAGCTCTTGCTTCCTGAAGTGAAACACAGCTAAGTGATTCCCTCAGAAAGCAGATCTAAAATGTTCTTTTTACTGTGACTATCTCCAACCAGACATCTTCCAGTTGCGTTGGACTAAAGTTGCCATAATTCCAATGAACTAATGGGAAGCCTGGGAGTTGCAGGCCATCTAATATGAAGTCTCTGGATGGGCTTCTGCCACTGCTGGACTCATAGAAACAGATTGTTGAACTTCCCATTGAAGTTCAACCTTGTTGAAACAAAAGGAGCTTTTGAAAATTTCCCTCAAAATTTTGTAGCGGAGGAATTGGTTAAAGATTTCTTTGAATTTAATTGGTCCAACAATTTCTCAAGAATCAGACTGTTCTTTAGCAATGATAGTAGCATCATCGCTGCAAAAAGCCCACTGGGCAAATTCCCTTACTTCTTTTTTTTGTGGATTTAACTGAAACATAGAAAGTCAGGGGGAAAAATGACAGCTTATACAGTGAAAAATCACCTACACAAAACCTTTTGTCTATCTTGTTGTTCAGCCTTCCCTAATCTGAGTCTTTTCTGGGAAACAAACTTTGGGTCCCAGATTTCCCTTGCCAACATAGCCATTATTGAGAACTTAGGGAGTTGAAGCCCATAATATAATTGGAGACTGTCCAAATTGGAGAAAACTACCATTATAAATAAGTGTCAAAATATTGCACTCCTGTTAATGCTGCTTAATGATCTTTATGCTAAACAATTTTTCTATCTGAGAAAACTTTAAAACCTGGCTCTGGGTCTGAACACTTTATAAATCTTTTTTTTTAATTTAATTGCTTTTTAATTTTATTTCATGTGGTATATTATTATTATTATTTTCATTTTTATGATGCGTTTTTCATGTTTTCTGCGTACAGGTAATCCTCAACCTGCAGCCATTAATTTTGCAACCATTCAAAGTACAAAACGGTGCTGAAAAAAGTGACTTACAGTTGATTTTTGCATTTACAGCTGTTAAGGCATCTCTATGGTGACATGATAAAAATGTGGGCACTGGGTAACTACAACAGTGGTAGCATCCCCGGCCTAGGCTAATCTGATTGCCATTGGTGACTTCCAGCCCCCGATAAGCAATCAATAGGGGTTTGCTTAATAACAGCATGATTCACTTAATAACTGAGTGATTTGCTTAAGAACTATGGCCCCAAAAATGATAAAATTGGGTACAACTCAGTCATTCCAGTGCTTAGCGATGGAAATTCTGGTCCCAGTTGTGGCCGTGAGTCAAAGACTACCTGTATTGTCTTCCCAATCAAATACCTCATAAAACAAATCAACAGGAAGAACAACAATAGCCATAATAACAATAGCGCTGCCATATAATTTCTGCAAAATTCTCTTTCTCTTTTCAAAGAATGTCTCTTTGACTAAATTGAGACAGAGTTAAAAAACAAAAACAAAAGGAAGGACGGAATAGATCCCTGGTTGACTCTGAATGTAATACTTCACGCCTCACAATAGTCACTGTAAAGATGCAGAATAACTTCATCCCGCTCTTAATGCAGGGGTGTCAAACTGCATTTCTTTGAGGGCCGGATCAGCATTGTAGTTCTCCTCTGTGGGCCAGTGGTCAGGGAAGCGGCGTGGGTGGGTGGGTGGTGTTAGGATGGGGTGCAGTGGCACAGATGTCTCCTGCAGCACTCTGCTGGCCAAAAGCTGGCTGTGTGATCCGTTTTCCGGCCTATTTTCTGTCTGTTTTGGGCCCGTTTTTCAGCCCAGTTTCGGCTGGCAGAGTGCTGCAGGAGACCATGGACCATGGTGAAAATGAGGCATGAGGGTGGACACACGGCCTTTTTTAGCCACCAGAGGCACCATGGACTGGTCATATTTGCAGGCCAGCCCCGCAGGCTGGATTTAAGCACCCCACGAGCCAGATGTGGCCCACAGGCCTTGAATTTAACACCCCTGTCTTAATGCAACCGTTTACAAAATGCAGACAGGACTGCAGTCTCATCAGCCATTTTTATTTATGTATATGCCACCTTTTTTATTTTTATAAATAAGTCAAGGTGGTGAGCACCACAATACTCGTTCCTATTTTCCCCACAATAACAACCCTGGGGGGCAAGTTGGGCTAAGAGAGAGTGACTGGCCCAAGGTCGCCCATTCGGCTTTCCTGTCTCAGGCAGGACTAGGACTCACAGTCTCCTGGTGATTGGGCCAAAGACACTCGGGCAGTTTTCATGCCTAAGGCAGGACTAGAACTCACAGTCTCCTTGCTTTTAGCCGGTGCCTTAACCCAGGGGTCCCCAACCCCCAGGCCATGGCCCAGGCTGCAGCCCATTTGGACCTGGCCTATGGAAGTGCTGGGGTGGTGCGTGTCCATGCAAAGCTGCGTTCGTGAAAGCAGCGCCTGCATGGAACCATCCCCCTTTCCCTCCCTGCCTCCAGCGGTCCAGAAATGATGGAGACTTCTGCCTTAACCTAGTGTGTGTGTGTGTGTGTGTGTAACCCTGATCCTGGGTCTCTTCCTAAATGCCCGAATGGAGGCAAAGGGGCTTTACCTTGGCCGTTCCAGCAAAGGCCACTTTGTCGATGCCTGGGTCGTGTGCCAAGGCTTCTCCCAGCCCCTGATCGCCAATGAGGACATTGAAGACCCCCGGGGGGAGCCCAGCTTGGGTACAGACCTCGGCCAAGAACAGAGCAGCCAAACCGGCGGACCTGGCTGGCTTCAAAATTGTCGTGTTTCCTGTTGGCAAAGGACGCAATGGAGAGTTAGGGATGGGAAAGAAAAAGTAGGCAAAAAAGCTAGAGAAATATCTGTTCCCTATATTCTTCCCCTCCCCCCCCCCATCTGATAGGGCTGTGATGGTGGACCTATGGCACACGTGCCACAGGTGGTATGCAGAGCCATTTGTTAGAGCACATGAGGCTCATAAAGCCATTTTTCGCCCTCCAGACTTCCCTGAAGCCCCCGGAGTGCAAAAAACCAGCCCTACGGGCAAACCAGAAATTCAAGCAAACTCAAAGTTCGGAAATGGTCTTCCAGTTTGGCTGTAGGGCCATTTTTTACACTCCAGAGGCTTCAGGGGAAGCTGCTTTCACCCTTCCCGGGCTCCTAGAAAGCCTCTGGAGCCTGGGGAGGAAAAAAAACAGGTCCATTGTGCGCCAAAAGCAGGGGGGGGGAGGGGGGGGGGTCGCATGCACATGTGGGCCGCACGCATAGCATTATGGGTGTGGGCACACCCGCGCACGACACCCCTTGCGCTCCCCCCGCTATTGGCATGCAATGGGAAAAAGGTTACCCATCACTGTGATAGGCGGTGGCCTCCAAATATGTTGGACTGCAACTCCTATTACAGGTTGGCCTCACCTTATAACAGTTCATTTAGTGACTGTTCAAAGTTATGGCCTCACTGAAAGAATCAACTTACGACCAGTTTTCACACTTACGACTGTTGCAGTCATGGTCACATGATCAAAATACAGACAGGTGGCAACTGACTCATACTTATGACGGTTGCAGTATCCAGGGGTAATGGGATCCCCTTTATAGAGACCACTGGCAAGCGAAGTCAATGAATAAACCGGATTCACTTAACAATCGTGTTGCTAACTTAACAACTGCTATAATTCACTTAACAGCTGTGGCAAGGTCGTAAAATGGGGCAAAGCCCATTAACAAATGTCTGAATTAGCAAGATAAATTTGGGCTCAATGACTTCTATTCGCACTCGGGAAAATTGAAGGATATTAGGTGGGAGGAGGGGGGGCTGAAGAAGGCAAAGGGAGAGTCAATGATTTCCATTTCTTTCATAATAGAAGTCAGTGCCAGATTTAACCTTAACCTCTCAAGGCTTTCTGTTAAAATGTAACCCCAGAAGATCTCACAAAAAAAGGACCAAGGACCTTGCGCTTTCAGAAAAAGTCGAAGCTGTATCTTGTTTAGCTTGTGCTTACATCTGGTGCTGGGTAAGCAGAATCAAGACAAGAAAGCATTTGTAAATAAGAGCAATTTGAAAAAAAAAGGCAATTGAGGCAGGGAAAACGTGGAACCAGAGTCCTTTTTTCCATCTCAAGGTTCAACCACCTGGCCAATGAAAGGGAAGATAGAAGAAAGTTCCTTGGCGCTTAACGTCCCAGGAGTTTAGGGAACATTCTTATCAAGGTGACACCTAGCTCAGAAGACTGATATCAGCCGTATATAAAGACAAAGCATTTTGAAGTATGATAAGCTGGGGATAGATAAATGACAAATAAAAAAGTAGATCTCATGAGTTTATTAATCTATACAACATATACTATTCAAAGTACCCAGTTTATAACTCCAGTTTGTCGATGATGATGCCTGAGAGTCAACATTCAAAATTTTCTTGGTAATATGTTCAGACATGCTGCATTTTTCAGACTATAAGATGCACCGGAGTATAAGACACACCATGATTTTGAAGAGGTAATTTTTTTTAAAAAGGTTTTGCATTCTGCAGGCCTCCCAAACCCTCTGCATGCCTCCTTTTTTGCAAAAAAAAAAGAAGGGGGGGGGGATGCAGAGCTTTGGGAAGCTTGTTGAGTGCTCCTGGGGGCTGGGGGAGGCAAAAACGAGCAAACCTGTTTTTTGCTCATTTTTGCCCTCCAGGAGTACTTTGCAAGTCTTCGTAACCCTCTGTACGTCTATTTTTGCAAAGTGGGTAAGGTAAACCAAAAATGCTTTATTTAATGTATAAGAGGCACCCAGATTTTCACCTTTTTGGGGAGGGAAAGGTGAGTATTATACCCCCCAAAATACGGTAGTTCATCACTGCCTTCTTTCTAGGTTTGAGAAACAGTGACTGACCTAAAGTCATCCAGCTGGTTTTGTGCCCAAGGCAGGACTAGATCTCACAATCTTCTGGTTTCTGACCCAATGCCTTTAACCTCTTCACCAGGGATGTCAAACTCAATTTCACTGAGGGCCACATCAGGATTGGGTTTGACCTTGGAGGGCAGAGGGAGGGGCGGAGTGTGACTGTGGTAGGCGTGACACAGGACCGCACCTCCGCAGACATGATTTTATAAACTTATAAAAATGTGGAGGCCTACATTTCTGTGATTTTGTTTTTTTTAATACCTACTTGATCACTTTGTGAGAGAAAGACCAGATCAATAAATTGTCTCCATAGGAAGGCTAGAACTATAAATTATTGACATAGGCTATAGTAGCAGAATCCTGCAAGCCTAAAAGGTAAAATATTTTACTTTTCCTCCCTTTTATAAACTTCTGAGTAAAAGATGGCTTCCTGGAGCACTCTGGAGGTCCCATTTTGGGCCTGGAAGGCCTCCTGGAGGACTCCCAAGGCCAAAAACGGTTGGGGGGGATTTTTTGTTAGCAGAGGCACTCCGGCTGGTCCTTTGCTATTTCTAGATCAGTCTTGCGGGCCAGATCTAAGCCTTGAGTTTGACACCCCTGCTCTACACCAAACCAACTCTCAACTTACATTATTTCCTTTAAAAGCACAGCAGGGAAACAAGGTATGCTACAGGTCCCTTCTCTTAAGGAGGTCCATTCAGTGGGACCAAGAAGAAGGGCCTTATCCGTGGTTGCTCCCTTCCTGTGGAACATCATGCCTGTGAAGATAAGATAGGTCCCCACCTTGATACCCTTTTAAAAAGCCCTGAAGACATGGTTTTGCCAGCGGGCCTGGACATCCCAGGATAATATATGGAGCCCATCAAGTGGTTTGTTGGATTGTTGTCACCAAGAGTTCATTGAGTTTTGTATTTGAGGTTGCACTTCTATTGGCCACCTGGAGTCACCCTGAGTGAATTGGCAACTACATACATTTTCTTAATGGAATAAAAACACATATTTTTAACAACATCGTCTTTCAAAGAATTCAAGTTTGTTTGTTTTTTTTCTGTCTAATTTTACTCTCAGATTAACCTCATGAGATAGAGTAAACGGAGATCAACCCAGTGACTTTTGTGCCAGGGTGGGTCTCAAGACTCGCTTGGATGAGTTGGAACCATTTTTACATACCCATCGCCAGGGCTGAACACAACTTCCATGTCAGCGTCAGCAAAGGAAAACTTCGAGGAATAAGAATAGCAACGACACCTATAGAGAGACAAGTTTCATCAGAAACGGAGTGTTTCCGCGGCTGCATTCAGTACCTACAACTATCTTTTTTAGGGGCCAACAAATATGCCAAATTTCCTCTATTTTGCACTTTGGAATCTGTACAGGAAGACTGCAGTCCATGATCAAAATTTCCTATAGGTGTTATTTTTTAGAGAGGAACTCCAGAACAGTCCTACCTAGTCAGCAAGTGTAATAATAAAGTGGTGAACCTACATTATAGCACACCAGTTTTTAGAATGCGAATCTTGTTGAACTTCAGGAGCTGATTTTTAAAAGTTTTCAATCATTTATTACATACATTCCTATAACTAGTCACAAGAGACTCAGTTTGCAATAATATCATATAATAAAATTATGTTTGATATCTAAAGTGGTTTTCACCTCATTTAATAACAGAGTGGGTAAGAGAGTGGAAAGGGATGTTGGAGATCTTCTAGTCCAACCCCCTGCTTAGACAGGAGACCCGATACTTAGACAAATGCCTGTCCAGTCTCTTCTTAAAAGCCTCCAGTGTTGGAGCATCCAGCATGCAATATTCATCCTTCAAATAACTCTTACAAAAATGATCATCCAGAAAAATGTTGCAGTCCTAACAGTTAAACCTATCACTAGTGCCTGTTCTTTTTTTTTTTTTTACTACTACCAACCTTGCTGTGGGCTTTCATTGTAAAATATTAAGCTACTGTAGCCAGCTGTACAAAAAATAAAGAATACAGTGCAAAAAGCAAATGTAATTAAAGCTGTTTACTACTGGACAATACACATAGTTTGCCTGTGGCCCCAAAATCTAATCACTAGAGATTAATGTGAGGTTGGGGGTGTTTGTGTGTGTGTATGTGTGTGTGTGTGTGTGTGTGTGTGCACGCCTACATGACCCCATTAGCCTTTAAGCACATGGAAAGAGCTACTAGTGTTCCTAGGTGATTCCATCAAAATGAATAGACATACCAGTGGTGGGTTTCAAAATTTTTTAGAACCTCTTCTGTAGGTGTGACCTGCTTTGTGGGAGTGGCTTGCCATCCATGTGACTGGGTGGGAGTGGCTTGCAAGCCATGTGACTGAGTGGGAGTGGCTTGGCAACCATGTGACCGGGTGGGCGTGGCCAACTTGTAAAATGTGGTGAAATTCACTTAACAACGTTCTTGCTTAGCAACCAAAATGTTGACTCAGAAACTCTGGCATTTGAAGAACCAAGTCTTAAAGCTGTCAAGTTACAAGACCCTTGCACCCCTAACCCTTTAGAAAAAAAACCCCCAGGGGTGTTCAAACTTGACAGCTTTAAGACTTGTGGACTTCAACTCTCAGAATTCCTCCTCTCACTCTTCATCTTCATGATGTGCTGACAGGCGAGGGGAGGCAGCTGGAACCAGTTCTAAACAGCACTGTAGATTTGTGGAACCTCTTCTATAGAAGAGGTTAGAACTGGCAGGAACCCACCCTGAGACATACCCAAATAAATTATTATGTTGAAAAAACTAAAGACAAAATTATTGATGATGAAGGATTAGTTTAAGAAGCTGTTCAGAATCAGCCACGATTTTGGGAATTGTTCATTCTGCAGAATGAATGTCGGCAACCTGTGGCTCCAGAGCCGCATTCGGCTCTTTCGCCCCTCTGTTCTGGTTCCCTGTGGGATGGCCCTGCCACTTACGCTCCCCTCCCAGTCACTCCACCCCTGGCCTGAGAAGGTAAGGGTGATAGTGGTGGATGGAGACTAGCTCCATATCCCAGAGCAGGAGCGAAGCTCCCCTGTACTTGCTGGGTCTCGCGGGCGCATCTTCTGGCGGCTTGCTCTTGCCTCCCAGATGTCAGTTGCTGTGATGCCCTGCCTCCCAGCTTATCGTTGGTACGCCATTTCAGAGCCCATTCTTGATGGGCTCTGAAATGGCAGAGGGTTAGGGTCATGGCATGCACAGATTCAAGACATGCACGTTTCTCCCAGCCTCTTCCTGTGGCGGGAGAGGTGACAGGCCTGTGGCTGCCAAGCACAGAGGTTGTGCCTTGGATGGAAGGGGGAGACTCTGCAGTTACCAGCACACTCCTTGGCTGCCCTGCACCTGATCTGCTTCGGAGATGCTCCTGCTCCTGTCACTCCATTCGCGCACTGGCTCATCCTGGAGATCGAGTACTGGACAAGTGTAACGATCTGTCTTTTATACCCAAATACTATTCTTGCAGCAACTTACTCTTGCACAGGGATCCAGAATAGCTGGGAAGAGGGCTGCTTACAAATATGCACTCACTTGTTGGAGTTTCCCCCCCCCACCCACATCTGTTCTAACTCTCGTTCTCTGTCTCCGGAGGTCAGATTCCCACTACCCACCCACAGGAGGGAGGGAGGGAGGGGGAGCAGTTTCCCACAGAAAACACCAGGGGGAAAAACCTGGGTAGGCATGGCGGGTCATGTGACTGGGTGGGAGTGACGTTGAGTTGGCCACGCCCACCCAGGTTTTGTGGCTCCCAGTTTTTTCTTTTCTGTGGGAAATAGGTCCAAAAGGGCTGTTTGATATTTAAGGTTGCAGACCCCTATGCTAGAGAGTAGGGGACAACACAAAGACTGGAGACGCAATAAGGTCACTCATTTCTCCCCACCCAATTGGAATATCTAAGTAACCTTCATTTGGTGTCTCCAACTCACTCCCCCCGCCCTACCAAAAATACAGTTAGATGCAAAGAAAAAGCCTCTTTGTGTACAGACATTCTATATACAGGTAGTCCTCAATTTACAGCACTTCATTTAGGTATCATTCAAAGTTACAAAGGCAATGAAAAATGTGACTTATGGCCATTTTTCATAGTTACGACCTTTACAGCATCCCCATGATCATGTGATCAAAATTGAGATGCTTGGGAATTGGTTCATATTAATGACCTTTGCTGTGTTCCAGGTCATGTGATCACCTTTTGAGACCTTCAGACAAGCAAAGTCAAAAGGAAATCAGATTCACTTTAACAGCCAGGTTACTAATTTATCAACTGCAGTGATTCACTTAACAACTGTGGCAAGAAGTCGTGAAATGGGGCAAAACGTACTTAACAAATGTCTCTCTTAACAACAAAAATTTTGAGCTCAGTTGTGGTTGTAGGTCAAGGACAACCTGTACGACCCAGTCCTTAATATCAGAAGCATTGCAATTTTGATAAACAAGCGTCTCTTTTCTTTGGTCACTATTGCTTTATCGTATATGACAAGGGCACACCGAATGGTCAAAGTCAGGTCATTTCAAGCTTCCAATGTGCCTTGTTCCTGTTAGGGGCATTTTTGGTGGTATTTCAAGTGTCAACAGGAGCTTTCAAGAGATCAAAACAACCTGCTGTGAACTTGTAACCATTACATAGAACCTAAAACCAAGCGTTTCAACCATTTCATTCCCTTTTAGTGCAGAAGTCTCCAAACCTGGCAATTTTAAGACTTGTGGTCCTCAACTCCCAGAACTCCCCAGTCAGATCCCTGCTCCAATATTCAGTGCTTCAGGGAGTGGGGGCAGATAATCTTCATGCTAGGAAAACCTGACTAAATAGGACGCCGGATATTATTTTCCAGTCTCCCCAGCTTACCAAGTGGTTGCCAGTTGCTCATCTGTTCCTCCATCAGCTGGGCCCATCCTGCGTAGTGGTAGAAATGGCGTACAACCAAAGGGAGATCCGCTTCTTGGCTTTCCCGGATCAAGTTTCCACTGTCGAGACTCTCCAGAACGCTGAGCAGCCGCTGATGTTTCTGGATGGTCTTGGCAATACTGTGGGAAGAGGCAACTTCAGATAAAGCACAGCTGGGCTAAATGGGCCCACGCATTGCAGTTCCAAGACCAGCTGAAAGGAATAAGCTATAGCATGTTAAGAAAGAAACTCTTCCTCTCGACTTACGACCAGTCGTTTACAACCGTTCAAATGTACGACAGACCTCCACAGGATTACGTATGACCCATATTTTAATTTCTGACAATTAGTCCACCCCATGGCCACGTAATCATATTTTGAACACTCAGCAAGTGACATCATTTAGGGCCATTTACAGTATCCTGCAATCACAAATCACCTTTCCCCCCCTGGAAATTGGTGTTTATTTCCGGTTTCCTTCGCTGACAATGGATTTGCTTAATGACCACAGTTGTTCACTTTATGATCGCGGTGTTTGCTTAACACCAACACTAAAAAGATTATAGGGCATGATCACATGGTGACTTGCTTAACCATGAGCACAATGTATGACTGTAATTCTTGATCATAAGTCAAGAATTACATATAGATGCTGCCAACGAACCAGGTGACATATGGATTCTGAATTCCCCAGGTACGATGACTTTTAATTAAAATTCTGGGGAATGAAATATCTGGAAAATGCCAAGGCAGAGGATCTTCAGCTATGACGACTTTAAGATGTGTGGATCTCAATTCTGTTTGGCTAGGGCAGACTTCCCCAACCTTTCCAGCTTTGAGGACCAGTTGGGGGGAGGAGGGGATGGTCCAGCAAGAGCAGCTGGCAATGTGTGCACACACGCAGCTCCATTTACACGGCAGGCACGCACACTAATTGCTCATGCAAATGGAGCGTGCACATGCACTCGTCTGTTGCTTTCTGCAGCCGAGTTCCAAATAGCTCACGACATAGTACTGGCCCATGGCCTGGGGCTTGGGGACTCTTAAGCTAGGGAATTCTGGGTGTTGAAGTGCCACATATCTTAAAAGTTGCTAAGTTTGAAAACACTGAACGATACTATGGGTGCTGTGCCATGGCATAGCTTCTTTCAAAGCTATTAGAAATTACACTTTGATGATTCTCTTAAAGATCATTTAGAACTCTGGTTTCCAATGACACCTGGAAAAAAATCAAAGTGATGTTTCTGGATGGTCTGATTGGGTTTTACCAATTAGATAGATTTTTTGTTATAGAAATGCTAGTTTATACTATTATGGTATGTTAAAGTAAAAAAAAAAGAGGTTTGATATCATTATCTTATTCTACTGCATCAAAGGCAATCAATAGCTTTTTTTTCTTTTCCCCCCTTCTTTCCCCCCCCCCCTCTTCTTTTCTCTTCTTCCTCTCCCATTTTTCCTACTATTTGCTTTTGTATTTTTATATTTTATATCACCCGTCACATCCTGGACATAATTTGTTTCAACTTCTGCCCTCAAAATGAGGCTACAGGGCTCTGCACGCCAAAACAACTAGACACAAGGACAGTTTTTTCTCCCATGTCATCCCTCTGCTAAACAACTAATTCCCACAACACTATCAAACTACCGAGTAGGCCTCTAGTACTATTATCCTTCCCATCTTTTCTATTACCCATCTCCTTATCTTCTTATTATAGCTTTGTTGCTTGTCTCTTACGATTTATGTTGTTTTATTCAAAATCCTAGTATGATTTATGTTGATTGCTTATTTAGTATCCTATGACTATCCCTTACGGCTATGATGAATGTATTTTATGATGAACATGATCATGATTTATCACTTGTTGCTTGTATGTACAGTGACAACTTATGCACAGGAGACAAATTCCTGGTGTGTCCAGTTACACTTGGCCAAAAAAGTATTATATTCTATTCTATTCAAAACTGAAGAAAGCTGAACAACTACCTTGCTTAGTAGAACTTTGGGGCGCAATTATGGTCATAAGTAGAGGACTATCTGTATGTCGCCAAGATTACCCTCTTGTTTTTCCCTTCCTCTCCCCTTGATTTAATAATGAAATACTAAAAGTATTTAAATAGAAATACTTTTCTAAACAGAAAAGTATTAAGATACAAATATAGAGTTAAACGATGACATAAGTGGAATTATTACAATGAAAATAAAATGTGGAAGAGGAAAATTGTTTTTAAGTAAATATGAAACTAGGTTTGCTGGAATCTCACCCCGAAAATCCATCAGAGTGAAGGAGAAAATAAGTAAATGCAACAATGGAAGGAGGGAGAAAGAGGAGGGAAAAGAAGAAAGGGAAAAGGAGAGGAAGTAAGGGAGGGACAATAAGGGTAGGAAGGAGAGGAAGAGAGGAGGAATGGGGGAGAGGGAGGGGAAGAAGAAAGGAGAAAGAAGAGGAGGAAAGAAGGTAGAGAAGGGAGGTTAGAAGGAAAAAAGGAGATGGGTTGTTGCAAAATAAGATGGATGGGGTGAACAAGAAAGCGATCCCGATTAAGTTTTTATATTTTTAAATTTCTAAATAGATTGTGATAAATGTTAAAAGACAATAGATAAATATTAATAGTACTTATGAGAATGTATATTTGTGAATGTATAATATGAGAAAACAAAAACTTTACACACACAAGGACACAAAGATTACCCTCTTGTTACTGCCTCTTACTTGTAAAGGTGTCGGGCTCGAATATGGCCAGGGAGTAGGCTCCAACTTTCACAGGCTATTTTAGCAGCCTGAACAGCTTTATCCACATCTTCTTTCTTGCCTTGGATTGTGGTGGCCAGTGGTTCCCCTAAAGGAGAAGAGGGGGAAGAAAGAGGGTTTTTTTTTTCTCCTGCAAAGTCTACCCTGAAATAACAATAGCAATAGCACTTAGATCTACTATATACTGCTTTATAGTGCTTTACAGTCCTCTCTAAGCGGTTTACTGAGTCAGCATATTGTTCTCAACAATCTGAGTCCTCTGTTTACTGATCTTGGAAGGATGGAAGGTTGAGTCAAGGTTGGGTTCAAACTTCCTGCAGCGGGCAGAATCCACCTGCAATACTGCATTCTAACCACTGCACCATCACAGATTGATTGAAAGGTTCAGAAATTCTTAGCCATTTTTGGGAAGCAGGACTTGCTGTCGTTTTAAGGAATACAGTCTGCCTTTTTTTTTTTTTTTTTTTTTTTGAAGGGGAAGGAGAAATTAGCAGCAATCACTACAGTTTTGGGAGCTGGAATCAAATAAGTGTCAATGTTCCAAGTAATGTTGTCTTAGAAAGCAGAAC